TCACCTGGAGGTGGGCACAGTCCCAGCACGGTGCCTGCTGCTGCCGCCGCAGCTCCCGCAGCTCCCCCTCGCATGCCTTCATCTCCTGCCGCAAGCGTTCATTCTCGGCTGCCAGCAGGTCCCGGTGCTTCTCCGCATCTGTGCCGCCCTGCCGAGGGACAGGGATGGAAGTCCAGCCCGCTGCCCCCAGGGATCCCCCGGCCCACCGTATTGGGGAGTCCCCACTCAGCTGTGCCTGGGGACCTCCAGCCCCCAGAGGGTCTTTGGCTTCCCACTGCAGAGCGCTGGTGCCAGGGAGGTTTTGCTGGCTGTGCCTCAGGGCCACTGGTCGTGACATTGCGTTGGCCAGAAAATCCCACAACCTTTCACCCATCAATGTCTCTCTCTCAACTCGCAGGCTCCAAACTGTGACCCTGGGGAGGTTTTAGTGTTTCTAAACCCTCCCCATGTGCCCCCTTCCTCCTCGGGGACCCACAGCTCCAGCATCCCTCCGAGCTAGGGTGGCTTGGTCCAAGCCCCGTGGCAGCTCACCAGCTCTGAGCGCAGCCGGCTGATCTCCTGCGCCTGCTCCAGGAGCTTCGCCTTCAGAGTTTCAACCTGTCAACACAGGTAAGGTTAACCAGGAGGCATCTCAGCAGCTTTAGGAGGAGACCCCACGGTGCCACCCCAGCCACTGATATCCAGTCTGGCTTGCACCTTCATTACGTCTTAATTTTCCACCTCGCTCTGAGCGCCTGATTCACATGAGCTGACTAAAACCAGCGTTAATGAAAGGCTTGCTTCGACCTTGTTCAACCGTGGGTATAATTTGTCCATGTTGAGCATTAGCAGAAACCATTATTAAAAAAAAACCAACCTGCATCATCTTTGGAGAAGGAAGAAAACAAACTTATCCATAATTGTGTTTAAAGAGCCAGAAGCGCCTCATCATGCCCTTGCAACACAGCTTTGCTTTGCCTTTGCTATTTTTCTTTCTAGGAAAGTTATCTGGGGAGAAAGAGGGAGCAGGAGGTCTTTGAGAAGTCCATGTGTCCTCTGATGGGAGGATGGTCCCCAGTCATCCCATCCGACAGCTGTCCATCCCACGGGAACCAGGCTGCCCCTCTCCCTACAAAATCAGGTGGATTTCATAAATCCTCCACTTTTTTGTGCAGGAACCAGCGAGGTTCCCCCCCCACCCCCCGCGCCCAGAATATGCAGTTATTCAAATTAACAGTGGCAGCAAGTGCTTGGCAAAGCCAGTGTTCTCGTGGGTTTTGTTCTTACGGGGTTTAGCCACCTGCTCTATCCCTCATCCCCATGCCCAAAATCCAATGGCTGCTGGGCAAGCATCACCGCCTCCCCAGAACTTACCCTGGAGAGAGCTGGACCTGGCCGCGCACTTCACCATCGTCCCCCAGATCCCAGGAAGTTTCCCAGTTTCCCCGTACTGGGAAGCCACCACGCCACCAAACCCCTCACCCGGACGCGGCAGGCTGTTGCCCCATCCCAATAACCAGCTTTTTCTAAGCAACCAGGCCCTTCGTGAGCCATAATTTAGGAACTGCTGATTAATACCAAATGCAGATGTGCTGACATTGTGCTGTAATTAATTATGGTAAGTCATTAAGCCACGCCCTTGCAGAGACGGCAGCGCAGCGGGCGAGCACCTCCTGTGCGCCCCACGCACTCAGCAGGGCACGGCCGGGGGTTGGCCAGCGAGCTCCGCGTGCTTACGGCCGCGCGCTGGGGAAGGCGGCTGCTCCCTGCCGACGTCGGGAACCCCCCTCCCTCCGCAGCGGGGCGAAGTGTGCACCACGCAGGCACCAAGCACACCAGCCTCGCGCCTGAGTCGGGAAATCCAATTTCCATATGCAGTAAGGGAGATTATTAAGGTATTTTTAAAAATATTTTTAAAAGAGGGGAGGGACCGAGAAGACAGAGTCACGGCTTGTTACTGAGAAGTCGCCACCCCAGCCAGCCAACGCGCATGCCGGAGTCTGCCCACCGCTCACAGTGCCAGTAGCTCCCAAAAATGCCAATGCACCTCCATCCCCTACCTGCTCGCGCATCTCCAGCCGCATCCTGCTCTCCAGAGGTGACAGGGATTCCTTGGCAGCCGGATCCGGCTCAAGCCGTGGCCTGGCCATCCCCAAGCTTTGCAAGTTTGGGTCAGCGCTTCACTCTGGCCAGCGTTGGCTGCGCTCACTGCCGAACTGGCCGGCGCAAGGCCGGATCCTGCCAGTGCTCACTCTTGTGTCATGCAGACTATGCCAACCAAATGCAGGACAATTACCTCCACCTTTTTGACACCCGTGGAACAAGCAGAACCTGACTGCAACAGCTTCCACAACAGCCACATGCAAATCCCTTTATGAGCAGCCGGAATTTCAATCTCCCTGGGACAACCCAAGTCCTCGCACTAAGGATGAGGCTGCACCGTCGCAGGAGATGGTTCTGGGGGGGTTCTGGTTGTGGCAGCCAAAACACTCTCCCGTTTGGCAGAAAACTCTGTGCCTTCATGTTTGCTTTCCACATCCTGATTCTCGGAAGTCACTAAAATTAATCTGCTGGGTCAATCTAATGAGCTTATCCTGTGGTGGTGGAGGATGGACAATCACTGCAGGGCTGCAACCCCGATAACCAAAGCCCTCCCGGCCACATCAAGCCCAAGGAACCACATGTCCTCACTGGCATTATTGTGGTATCACTGTGACATCAATCCGGGGGCTGTGAGCATCCCAAGGGAGGGATCCATGGGGATGGGATCTATCCCATCCACGGTGGGATGGCTGCAGTGCTCAGGAGCACTCAGCTCCCAGATCACCCCTACGCACCCGAGTGGAGAAGATGCTCCATGATGGAGGTCCTATGCTCCTTCCAAGCCCACTCCTCACTAACTGCAAGCCACGGCGCTCCAGCCAAGCAACAGCATGAAGCTGGTGACCCTGACGGACCCCCTTGAGTCCCCTGGTCCCCACCATACCTGGGCTTGCAGCTGGAGAGAGCGGGAGAGCTCGTCGTTCTCCTGGGCAGTGAGCTTCTCCTGCAGCCCCAGCACCTCCTCCTGCAGCCGCAGCTTCTCCTCCTGCAGATGCGCCATGGAGGCCACCACCTTCTGGATGACCGGGAAGGGCCGGGCTGCTGGAAGGCTGGCGCGTTTCCCACTGCAGAGCCTCCCTCCTGCAGCGGGAGCAAAGATGGAGCTGGTCAGGATCCGGCTGCCTCGCTGGGGAACAGGATGCCAGATATGGGAAGACTCCCCAGGGGCTGTGGTGGAGATGGGACAGTGGGGAGCGGGACTTGCAGAAGTCCCACAGAGAGCAGTGACGTGCCAGGAGGTGTATCCTGAGTGCCACGGTGCTGTCTGGGCTTAATGGTGGGGCTCCAGCCAGGTGAGCCCCCTGCGGGGGTGGGAGCGGGAGGGGGAAGACTCCCCAGGGGCTGTGGTGGAGATGGGACAGTGGGGAGCGGGACTTGCAGAAGTCCCACAGAGAGCAGTGACGTGCCAGGAGGTGTATCCTGAGTGCCACGGTGCTGTCTGGGCTTAATGGTGGGGCTCCAGCCAGGTGAGCCCCCTGCGGGGGTGGGAGCCGAAGGGATCTGCCGATGCCAGCAGAACATCCCAGGCTGTGACACAGAGCGCCTGCCCACACCACCACGCCGTGACCCAGCCCCATCACACGCTGGGATGCTGCCGCCTCAGTCAGATAACAACTGCCTTCACCACAGCACTCTGATTCATCCCAGCATCCTTTTTTTCTGAATGAGCAGGTGCCAGTGGAAAACCAGTATGTGATCGTGTTATTAAAGACTGCATCATTACACACAAATATAATGGAAGCCAAATTAAAATTATACAGGTACCCTGAATGGCCATATTGCCTAATCCTTGCATGCTCGGCTTTCTAACCTTCCTTGTATTATTTTAAACATGGTTTTCTGCATGTTAATAGAGCCACTGGTGCTGACAGAAGCCAACCTGGCCGTACATCAGAGCCTACCAAATGAATCCCTAAATGACTTGGTTGTTCCCAAGAAGAAATGAGATGGCCTGACTCATTCCTGATGTGGGGATGAGGCACCGCGGAGGGCAAACCGGCGGCCAGGATCCCGGCTGCCCGGCGCCCTTCCCTGCCTGCTGTGGATTTCATCTGCTACCACCAGAAACCTGAGGTTTTAAAAGGCAGGACGTGATGCTGGGAATTGCTTCGCTGCCTGCAGGCAGATGCTGCCTCCTTTATGGGGAATGTCCTGAATACAAGAAAGATGAATTTTTTTGTCTGTGAATCAGACTTTCTACCTCTAAAAGGAGGAGTTAAAGAGCCAGCAGAGCGGGCAAAAAAATGAAATGCTGGGACCAAACCAGGACTCTGCTCTCGACCGCGTGCCATAGGACTTATCCAGCAACGTCTGCAGAAGGGATCGCCAGATTTTGTCTTCCTGTCTTGGGCTGGATACCCTGAAAGAGTGCCGACAGGTGCCAGCTTTTCTTTCTTTCCATGCCGAAAGCTCAGCCCAGCTCAGGCAGGGGATTGTGATCTTCCCTTTAAACCCAACACACACAAAACCCGCTCCAAAACTTCTGAAGTTAACAGGAACGCCAGCTCCCACCCCTTGGGGAGCATGCAGGGATAAAACAAGATTACGGGAGGCACCAGGGCTCTTGCGGACGCAGCGGGTGTCTGCACACATCATCCACGCTAATCCCGGGCTGGGACCCAAGGCAGAGCCGGGTTCAAAGCCACAACACGTGGCTGCAAGTCAACCTGCCAGGCAGGGATGATCTCGCACGGATAACGCACTCCAACACCTTTCTCCTGCAAGAGCATCCTTGGGAGAGGAGCTGCCGGCTGGACCTGTGTTACATGTACCAGTGGGCAGACATGCTGGCGGCAAACGTGGGCTCCGAGTGTGGCAGGCACAGCACACTGACCCTCCCGTTTTCCAAAATGCTTTGAAACCCGTTTGGAAAGGTGGCCGTTTCCACGGCTCTGCCCCGTTACCACTGCCACGTGAGCTCCCTTCCTCCTGCATCCCTGCCCCTTCCCACCAGCCGCCTCAGGAGCTGCTCGGGGACACAGCCAAGGGCCCACCTCAGGAGCAGCACCCCGGATGAGGCCTGACAACCCCAGAAAATTTGGTCCTGATGATGAACAATGGGAAACCACAGGGATTCACCCACCCCGGCACAGCCACACACACTGCAAGCAATTCCACAAACTTGAC